GGGGGGGGGGGGGGGTAACGATAACAGGAATAACTAGAAAATCAATTCAAACCAAAAAAAAGCACGTTAAAATAAGCTGTTCAACAGTGGCTTCTACCAGAAAAAGAAACCTGCTCTCAAATGGTAGTTTTTCACTGACAGGAATTGCCTGTACGCGCCATTGCATACTTGTTGTGTCTTGATAGATAATGTATGTGATGTTATCATCTTCTAGACCAAGCTCCTTTTCGATGGAGAAAAAATGATCCTTCCACGGTACACCACCATTTTCAAGAACGAAAAATTGCCCGCTTTCATCAACCTTAAAAATCCATTTAGAGTGGAAATGTCAAAAGCACCATTCCGCAAAAAGAATAATAAAAATGTGCAAAAAAAAAATTTCCACTTCGCAAAAAAAATAATAAAAATGTGCAAAAATCAACAACTCACTTCCAGGCGATTACTGACCGCGTCCACAACGATAGCCCGAGCAGGCAACCAGGAATGGTAAAGATAGTCGAGCAATTCGCCAAATTCCTTGCCAACCAATTGAATAGCCTTTGAAAATCTAAAAAAAAAAGATCTGAAATCGTCCCGCGAATAATTCATTTAACGAGATCAGAGTAGGATGTAGCCATCACCTCGCTTCTACGGATACTGAGGTTTCATTCCATGCAGGATTGAGTGCACCGACCCGTGCTGGTAACGTTCCACCCATATAATATCTGTAAAAAGCAAAAACTCGGAGAAGTAAAAACTAAGAAAAAACCCAGAAAACTCAGAAAAAAAAGCAAAAACTCAGAAAATGGCCTGGTAGCATGCCACATCCGAATTTCAGAGCAACATTTTTTGGCCGGTGGCAAGATGCCAGGGCAACATATTTACAGAACAGTGTTCTGGTGCCACGTGAAGTAGCTGCTGCAGTGAAAAAAGCTAGGCAAAAAGAAAAAAGAATTACTTTGGTTCACCGTCGTACTGAGAAATTCCATTATCCACTGCATCTATTGCTTCCACGAATGTTTTGTAGATTTTTTTATACAGAATATCAATCACCGGATCGCCATGTACTAACCCAAGCAGAGCACCAATTACGCGTTTCCCAAAATGAGCATAAATAAGACCTGCTGAACTCAGTTTCGTATCAAAATCCATTATTTGCAGCGTTTTCATAGTGTGAGCAAAGTCCCTGTAAAAAAAAATTTTTTTAAGCAATCGATGCATGTTGCAAATAATTCAATCTGAGCAAATCAGTGGGACGGGGCACATGTATGTTCCTCGAATTTCCCAAGAAATGTCAGATCCCCACTTTTTTTGGAAAAAAAAAAAAAAAAAGCACTACTTCAAAATTCCCAAGAAATGTCCGATTTTCAC